TTTGATGTCCTGGCACTCTGGCACCCCTCCATGCCCCGTGTCCCTGCTGCCACTGTCACCTGACCCTGCACCCACAAACCCCCAGCCCCAGCCCCGCAGCACTCACCCGCTGCAGCAGGGTGTCCCTGGGGTCCGGCGCTGCCCGGGCATCTCCTGAGCCCCAGGGCAGGCGGGGAAGGCAAAGGACCCGTTACCCACCCCGCCACCTCATCCCAACCCACCCATCTGCTGGCACACCCCTTCGCCAGCTACCGAAATATGTCCCTCCTGTGGGGCGCAGGGTCACCCTGATTTCTCCTGCCTAGTTCCCAAAGCCAGCACCTGCTCCAGGGCAAAGGGGCTGCACTCACCCTGCAGCAGGTACTCCTCGAAGAGCATGGCTGTGTCCCCCGCCAGCTCCAGCAGCCCCTTTGGCAGGCGTCCCCCGGCTCTGCCTCGCTCACGCTGCCCTGTACTTTGCACGGGGCAGCCGCACTCTGCTCTGCGCCGCTCTTATCTCCCAGCCTTGCCGAAGACGGCGGCTCCAGCGGTGCAATGCGACGTCCCCGTTGGCCCAGAGCTGCTGCGGGCACTCTGGGCCAGGGGTTGGCCCCGCTGCCGGTACAAGGGGTGACACCCTTGTTTGGGGCTTAATGAGCTTTGGTCCCCAGCCCGGGACAAGTCCCCACTGCAGCTCCAGGGAGAGGGAACACAAAATGGGGATGGAGAGGGGTGCAAGACCGGTATAAACCACAACAAGCCGCGTTCGATGCTACCTTTTATTGTGCACGCTTGCCGCCACCAGCTTCCAGGCTTAGCCAAGCTTCAGAGAGGATTTTTGTGTGCTGCAGCCACCCAGAGAGAGGTGGCACGTGGGAAAACCTGCCTGGTTGGATGCGGCCCCTTTGGAGACATCTCAGCGGCGGGTGAGCAAGGAGTGAAGCAGTGTATAGAAATCACTGTGGTGCCCAGGGCTGGGACCTGTCCGTGCTCCGGGGTTGGCTCCAGCAAAGGCAAACCTGGCTGTATCTTCTCCAGTGGTGCTGAGGTGACAGTTATTAAACCAAATCCTCCCATGGCTGCTGCTTGTGCCATGGGTGCCGGGACCAGGGGAACGAGGTGCCGTGGCCATGGTCCCCCACGGTCACACTGATGCCACCCCGCGTTCCCCTCCGCCCATGCCTCCCCGTCAGCCCCGCTGCCCTCTCCAGCCCCGGCGGAGGAGCCATGTCCCAGCCGGGGAGGTTTATTTCCTGCGCCCGAGGCGGGCCATCAGCTTGGCGTTGGCAGCCGCCTTGGCCTGCAGCTCCTTCTCTCTGGCCAGGTCGAGCAGGATTTTCAGTATGTAGGTGGGGACATCAAGTGACAGGGACACCTTTCTCACCTTTTTCCCAGGAGCAGGTCTCTTGGTGGCAGGGCTCATCAGCCAGGGCAATGCTTTTCTTGCTGACCCCTCTAGCAGCGGTGGGCTGGCTTTGTCCGGATGAGACCCTTTCCCAGAGCCATGGTCACTTCTCCTCATTTCAGGGAGACCGGGCAGCATCTCATTAGCGCCGGTGGTTTCTTGCCTTGTCAGCTTGCCTCTGTCCCCGGCGCCGGGGGCCGACAGAAGCTGCTCGCAGCTTGGCCCCTTCCAGGCTCTCACCGGCGCCCCGAGGACCACCAGGAAGGTGAGCAGCGTCCTGCAGCACAGCACGGCTGGGAGCGCCTGCAAGGAGCACATGGCCAGCGCTGAGCATTGCCCCACTGGCACGCTGCCACGGCCCTGCGGCCCCCCAGGCAGGACACGTCCCCGCCAGGGTGCCACACGCAGAGCCCCCTGCTCCTGATGCCAGCTGGCCATGCCCGGCACGGGGGGGCTCATGTCCCTTTTGGGGACTCTTCAGTTTTCCACCCTGATTTTAACCTTTTTGCATGGCAGGGGGGGAGTTTTGGGGAGGCTGAAGGGGACATGGGAAGCAGATCAGCTGGGTCCTCATCCTTTCCCACCGCCCCTGGCCAGACGCTGGCTGTCACCTCCATTTCACACCCTCTGGCCCTTTGCCGCCCAGGGGAAGGGACTTTCCCACCCAGGGGGGTGCAGCATGGGGACTGCAGCCATTCCCCAGCCCAGACCTGCCCTTTGGCTGGGGAAGCATGACATGCCCCGGGTTTCGGGGCCAGGCGGGCTGTGGGGCTTTCCTCCTCCCACGCCTTCCCCGGCGGATGCCGTCCCCCCACGGGGCCGCTGTGCTCTTTGGGACAAAAGCCACCCCACCGGGAGGGACACAAGCCACTTGGCCTAAAATACACAGCAGGTCGGTGGCAGCAGGGTGACGAGGGCACGAGTTTGGCCACGTGCACTGAGCTGTGCCGAGCCTCAGCAACTTCCTCCGCCTTGGCCCCCACCCTGGTGCCAGGTAGGGCCCCAGGGGATGCAGGGTGCTGTGCCGTGCAGTGGGGGTCAGGGTGCTGTGCTGTGGGGTGGGGGTCAGTGCGGGCATGGGGTCACCGCCACACACAAATCCTGCCTCTCCCCCAAATCAGTTGCCCAGCGCAGTTTGCCTAGCTGGAAGGAGGGCAGTGAAAGGCATCCAGCCTGCTGCAATGCATCTCCAGGGTGAAACCCTTTGGAAAGTATCGGACCGGGCAGCTGGAGGTGGTTTAACTAGCTAGGAAGAGAGTAATGAAAAGCATCCAACCCCCTGCAACCCATTTCCCAGCTAACCCCCCCCCAGGAAAACACCACTGAAGGGCATAGCCTCACCATTTCCAGCAGGTCCTCGTCCCCCTGATATTCAGGCGATGCTCCTGGGGTGTGGGGACCATGAGCTGGGGGTTTGCCCTGCTCCCCGCCAAGCCCTGGCTCTTATCCTGCCCCCAGCTCCACCTCTGACCCGTGGAGGGGATGATGGTGACACGCGGCAGAGGACACACATGATGTTACTAATACATTTTGCCCAATAGCAGATTAAATCATCCCAGGCCATGGGTGAGTGTTTGCCCCCTCAGCTCCATCTGCTGCATTTGGAGGGGATTCCGGGAACTCGGGATGGCTCCACCGCTGAAGCATAGCCTCACCATTTCCAGCAGGTCCTCGTCCCCCTGATATTCAGGCGATGCTCCTGGGGTGTGGGGACCATGAGCTGGGGGTTTGCCCTGCTCCCCGCCAAGCCCTGGCTCTTATCCTGCCCCCAGCTCCACCTCTGACCCGTGGAGGGGATGATGGTGACACGCGGCAGAGGACACACATGATGTTACTAATACATTTTGCCCAATAGCAGATTAAATCATCCCAGGCCATGGGTGAGTGTTTGCCCCCTCAGCTCCATCTGCTGCATTTGGAGGGGATTCCGGGAACTCGGGATGGCTCAGGCATAATTATTTCACATCTGACTCGCAAAATGGTTTTTATCCATCTAATTGAGCCTTCCTGCTCCTGTCAGCCTTGGTTAATCACTTAAGGAAGGAAGAAAACGCACACGCATATCACTGCTGGCACTGACAGCGAGTGCCAACCTCCCTGGCACTGTGCCACACGAGGTTCCCGGACGTCTCCCGGTGCCGGTTTGGCGCAGCTGTCCTGATGGACTCCCTGGCCCTGGCCAGCTGGGGGACATTGCTGGAGACACGTCACCTCCCCACTGGGCCAACCCCAGAGCGCTGCCTGAGCCACTGGTTTGCAGCCAGCTGCACCAGTTCAACCGGGACACCACTGGTTTGCAGCCCACCTTCACCCCGTCTAACTGGGACGCCACTGGTCTGCAGCCCACCTACACCCAGTCCAACCGGGACACCACTGGTTTGCAGCTTACCTTCACCCAGTCCAACTGGGATGCCACTGGTTTGCAGCCCATCTGCACCAGTTCAGCCTGGCCCAGCCCCTCTGCCGGCTGCCTGTAGGTGTTGCTGTGGGGTGAGCCCCATGCAGAAGGGTTTTGCCCCAGAGTTCCCCCCTTAGTGGCTGTGGGAGCACCCAGGGGCTCTCAGGCTGGGCAGGCACCCACGTGAGATGAGTTGGTAGGTGCTCAGCCTGGAGGGCTGGCCAGTGTGAGGAGCCAGGGTGCCTGGGGCTGGGGCTCAGACCGCTGGGGGACTTGCCCACCCCTGTGGCCACAGGGTGACCCGTCCCACGCCAGCTGCTTCACGGCCTCCCCGGCAGCGGCAGGGAGAGGAAATAACACCAGCTCTGTTCTTCCTCCCGGGGATGGCCAGGAACTTGCCCCCCAGCTTGTCAGAGCAGCCAAAATTAGCTGGTGGTGCTGATTCACCCAGTGCATCACGCAGCACCGCAGCCCCGCGTGCCTACACGTCACAGCCTGGTTGGGGGGTCATGGCCTGGTTTGCATCAGCCAGGCACGCGCCGGGCATGGGGATAGGGTACCGGGGTCCCTGGGGGGGCGAGGACCTCCAGCTGGCACTGCCAGCAGTGAGCAGCTGGGAAAGGCATCCCAGCTGGAGTGGGCAGGGGGCATGCTTGGCTCAAGAGCTGTCCCCAAACCCCACAGGCATCTCCGGCAGCGCGCCAAGAAGTGTGGCATCTCCCCATGAGCGCAGCTTTAATATCACGGCCCCTCCCCGCATTGGTACACATATACATTCGCTGTATACAGATATACACAGAGTGCAGTGGTACGTATGGGCGCCACAAAGCCCACCCGGCAGCCCACAGCCCCCCAGGCCCTGAGGCGGTGGGGGGCACGTCCCCACTCAGCCCTGGGGCTGGGGGGGAGGCAGGGGCTGTGGACCCTTGGGAGCCAACATCGCTTTCACGAAGCCGTTGAGAGTGAGCGTAGGTGAGCAGGAACCTCCTCTAACATAGCACCATCCTCAGGGTTTCCCCGATGGGCCGGGGGGTGCAGGTGAGCACCCCCTGGATTAAAGACAGACGTGCTGCTGGCAGGTGTGTGAGTTGGAGGGTAGTGCACAGAGAAAGCCTCTGCCCCCCCCGCAGGTCTTTGCCAAACCATCACAGCCGCAAAAGGGGAACCGGATCCTGGTTGAGGTTAAGGTGAAATTTATTCAGATGGAGCTGGTTGCAGTGTGGGGGGTGAGGGATGCCATGCAGGGAGGCAGCACCTGGCCCAGGGATGCAGGCAGCCTCCCCCAGCAGAGAGCGGGGGGGGGACGGACATGACAACACATGGGGGGGGCAGGGAAGGGGACGAGGGTGTTAGATGAGGGGAGGGGAGTCCAACCACACCAAGTCCCAGGTCCACTCCTGGGCAGCTGGAGAGGGGGCATGGGGCCAAGCGCCGTCCCATCAGCAGCAAATAAGTTAAAAATCAAACTGGGAACAGCCCAGGACACCTGCGGGTGGGAAAGGGGGTTAAGAGCCTTGGGGGGGGATGGTTTCCCATTTGATACAAATTTCACCTTAACAGGTAATAAAACTGATATGAAAGGAAAAACCCGTGAGCAGCAATAAAGACACATTAGAAATAGCACCAAGTTCCTGCCAGGGGCTGGTGGGCATGCCGCCCCTGCCACCACGGGCAGCCCAGCCCCAGCTGGGGCGGCAATTGGGCCCCACTGCCGGGCAGCCCTGCCTGCTGAGACACTGCCTGCGCTTACGCCTTCGGCTGCCCTCCCACCTTGCTGCCAGCAATGCCGCGGGCATCTGCGGAGAGAAGTGAGGTGGTGTCAGAGCCGAGGCGGGGGACCAGCATTGTCCCCCTGGCTCTGCATCGGCCAAGCTCATGGCACTGGGTGGGGAAGCTGCCGGACCTGCTGCCGGTGCTGGTGGCCATGCCATGCCTACCTGCCCCTGGGCGCTGCCCGCAGTGCAGCTCACACTCCTCCTTGCTGTCAAAGCGGTTGAGGTTGCCCCGGCAGCCGCTGTAGACAAAGGGCCGGCACTCGGTGACTCTTTGGTTGTAGTACCACTGCAGCGTGTAGCGCTGGCAGTCCCCCTCATCCAGCGGCAGGCTGCAGGGCTCAGCTGCGGGGGGCAAATGGTGATGGTGAGCGCAGGCAGGAGCCGGCAGCACACTGGTGGTGAGGAGAAACCAGAAGGGGAAGGCAGGGAATGGCTCCCAGCTAAGCACGGGGAGGGTTTGGGGGATATCTCCGTGCCCTGCCCAAATGCTGGGAGTGAGGGTGAGGGACACTGCTCTGGGCAAGCCCTCTCCCAGGGGCAGCTCCCAGCAAAGGCTGGAGATAGAGCTGGAAGGGAGGTGGCACAGGGACATGATGGCCACAGGGTCCCTTGGAAGGGTACTGGAGGGACCCTCTGCATGCTGCTGCTGCCGCCGGGGCTTCCCTGCTCTCCTGGGGGCTTTGGGATCCCCTCCTGTGGCTCATGACCAGGACCACAGGAAACCTGCCACCTGCAGTCCCACCGGCCCAGCAAACCACCCGTCACTGCCAGTGACGGCTTCGGGGAGGGGGGCAG